TCAGCGTAATGAAGAGTAAACATTTATGCTAATAATCTGCAATTTTTTTCATCAGCTATAAAGACAGAGGCTATATAGCCGAAAATTTCAGTGCTATTCGGCAAGCGGCGAGCCGAGCTGCGGAAAAGCCTCCGGCGCTCGCAGGCGCCCGGTCCTGGGGACCTCTTTTTCACTCTGGACTCTCAGAATAGGAGGATGGGGCCAGGGGGTCCTCTTTTGGTTTTCTGGTTTTGTTTTTCTCTGATTTTGCCAGCTTCATCTTTTTTTTCTTCTTCTTCTTTTTTCCCTTCCTTCATTCCCTTTTTCCCCTTTATTTTTTTTTTCTTTTTGCCTTTCCTTTCCCGTCATTTTCCCAGCCAAAAGTTGCCTTCGATCCTTTTGATTTGATGTAGCAAAGAGTGTGTGTCCAGAGTATCTGAAATTGACACTGAAGAAGGTAAGGGTGGAAACCGGTTTCATTTTTCAGAGGGTTGGAAGGCTGCGCGCTGCGCCCGCCGCTGCGGCTCCCGCGCCGGGAGTAGGAGGGTGGGGGAGTGATTATGTATGCACCAGCTAATTCTTCCATCAAAACTTCTTGTCAGCGATGTCAGGATTATTTTTTTTCCCTTTTTGTAAAAACACTTGATGTTTCAGGAAGTGTTAATCCCTGAAGATTGGGGGGAATAGGGAGGGGGTAGGCGAGTGGTGGGTGGGGGGTGTGTGTTCCTGGAGCTTGGGGAAGGCACCCTTGAGAGTCGTTTGCCTGTCTACACTGGAGTTAGAGCTAGCGGTGGAGCCTATGGGAGGAGGCCGTCTTGGAGGCTCAGGAGGAAGACCCTTACCCTTTGTGCTGCATTAGACAGTGGCTCCTGTGGCCACGAAGGAAAGAGAGCAGATAAATTTGCTTTAGCCTGTGATTTCAAGGGTGTTTAACACAGGCAGTGGTGTGACAAAAAAAAAAAAAAAGTTGTGAAATTGGTTTATGAAAGATACAGAAAGATTCCAGGATAAAAATTCGGAGCTGGGGGAGGGGAGGGGAGGGGTCTGAGCTGCCTCTTTCCTTCCTGAACTGAACCTCAGGTTCTCCCTAAACCACCCGCACCTACCTCTCCTTGGGTGATGCAAATGGACAGTTTATTCTCAGGAGGAGAAATGCTAGGTGCCTTCTACACCAAATGATGGAAGTCACACTGCATATCGGCGTGTGGGTGCGAAGCAGGGAGTGTTTTAAAACTTTCTGAGGCTCTCCACACTAGTGTGGCATGGGGGCAGGCTCAAGAGCCACCTCACCCAGTTTAGCTGTAGATGATGCCCAAAGAAATAGAAATACAAATGGAGACACCAGCATCAGTGAGGGAAGCCTGCGACATGAGAAATATATCCAGTTTTGTATCTTAAAAAAAAAATCCTGCATTTGGAATCTAGGTCCTTCCTTAATGAGACCTGCACTCCATGAGCTGTCCATCCCCTCCAGGCTTGGGGAAGTCAGGACTGGAGAGGAGGGGGGAGTTTGGCACCCCACCCCCACCCCTTCCCCAGCCTCTTTTAGAGCGTGTGTGTGTGTGTGTGTGTGTGTGTGTGTGTGTGTGTGTGTGTGAAGATATTAAAGAGGTATCTGTTGTTTGGCCATTTTGCTAAGTCTGTCTTCGTTACTTTGCCTCTGTGCATTTGCTAATTTGGAGGCCCGGCCATTGACAAGCTTGCTCCATACACCTGCAAGCAATTTGCCGCTCCGGTACCAGAGAATTGCAGAGATGGCAGCTCGCACCTATTTGATTTTTTTCCCTTTTCTCAATGCACAGCAAATTTGGCTTTCAGTGCGTTATCTCTTTTGTTAATGCAAAAAGATTCCCTGGGCGAAAAAATTGCTCATAATTACCAGAGAGATGGGGAAACTGCATTAGAATAAATAAACCTGAAATTACTGTAATTATGTTGTGTTTGATGGGCCCGGCTTGTAATCAAGAAGAGAATACAGTGAAATGATGCTGACCCTCTTGGGTTTGCAGCTGTACGCGCACTTTGGGGTCTTTTTTTTGCAGAAAAGAGTCATTTTGATAATCATTAAGCTGTGTGTAACCTATTTCAGAAGTGTTTTAAAATGAGGTTCACATTTTTTGAACAAGGGGAAAAAAATCCCAAAATTGCATTTTGCCATTACAGACTCATACATAAGGAAAGGTTGTGTTTTCTAAGTGACAATTGTTAAGACATAATATTCGAAATCAGTATTTAATCATTATAATGAGGTATTGTTTAAATATAACCACCTTTAGATTATTCATAGTTTAATTAATATACTCATTATGAAAATCTTTGAATCAGATATTTGATGAACTACTTGTCAGTAACAAGGCAGCATTAATTAGGCCTATATTGAGATTAACATTTTTAAAAGTACAACCGCTTATAATTATAATACATCCTAACTAAAGACCGCCTTCGTGGAGCTAAAACTAATAATTTCTCTATTTGAACTGTTAGCAAGAGATTATTAAATTAGTACAAACTAGTATCTCAAAGTATTACAAGCTGCTTGACCAAACAGATTTTGCCTGTGGCTTTGCGGCTTGGGCCCCAGCGTTGGTCCGGGAGACCCGAGTGGGATGCGTGAGTGAAGTCTTCTATCCCAGAAGAAACCGAATCCACGCCGGTGCCTGCCCCAAGCTGGAGCCTGGCCTGGGGAACGCGGACGGGTCTCGGCTTGGAGGCCTGTGTGTCCCTCGCAACCCGGGTCTTGGAGGGTCTGAGCGCCCCTTCAAGGCCTTAGTTCCTGGGGGCTGCCGGCTGAGGTGAAACCCCAATTCCAGGTGCCAAGCGGGGATGGGGGAGCCTAGGCTACACCCGACACACACTCGCTAGCTTCTTCCTTCACGCTCCCAACCCAGCGTGGCCCCCACCACATTTTTCTCCCCTTGCTGGAAGGGGTCGGAAGAGCCCAGCGCATCTGATCTTTCACCAGCACCAATTGAAAAATGGGTGCTTGTCACAACACAGATCACTGCCTTCCCGGCTCCACTCCCCACAGCGCGACAGGAAGAAGCACACCCTCCCCCCCAGGCGAAGGGCCACAGAGGTCGGCAGGCGGCCGGGGTCTGGGGTTGGAGTTGTGATTGGCCATGGGTGCAGCGGACAGAGGGCCCATCTTTTGTGCGTTCCTCGGAAACCTAGGGTTCCTAAAGTGCGCCGTCCGAGGTGCTTGCCGTGCAGGCCTGGTCACGCTGGAACGATGGCATCTGACGTTGACCGGCTCTGAGGTTCCAGCGAGTCAGCCTAGTCCTTTTCGGTAGAGCAGAGCAAAGCCCTTAGGCAGGAGGGGGCCTGCCTCGTTGTGGAGCCCGGGTGACTCCCTGGAACCCTGCCTTGTCCCCCGGAGCGCACAGATTGATTGAGGGGTAGCCTGACAGACGTGTCCTTCCGGCTCCAGCCCGGCGTCTGGCCGTGTCTTTTCCTCGACGGATCCGGGGCTTGCCCAGAGGCAAACAACCAGCTCGGAGGCCAGGTCCCGGCGGAGGCTGGGGGTAACGCAGGGTGTCCGCTTCCAGGCCTGCAGAGGAGGGGGCAAGGACCTGAATCTCTTCAGGCTGGCTGTCTTCATCTCCTGGCCGATCTTCGCCATGAGTTCCACAGTCGAGCCTCGGCTCTGTCCTGCCGCACCTGTTCCTGACTGTTCCGAGCCAGGAACCCTCTCCAGCCCCCCTAACACAGTTGGGGGTTAGACGCTTTGAGGAGGGAGAGAGACACAGTAGCCTACGGAGGATATCCTGTTGTCCCTGCCTCTCAGCTCCCTGCATCCCCAAGAAAGGAGCCTGGCCTCTGGACCCACCCCGCCCCCATCACACAGGACACGAGACAGCAGCTCTTTCTCGAAACCATAATTTTACTGTCTCAAAGAAACTTTATAACTTATTTACAAAGTTCAGTTTTTTTTCAAGATACAAAGCAATAAGTTAACATTCTCAATATAAAACTAAACTTTGACATAGAGAACACAAAACACGGCTGATTTCAACTGATCACATTTTCCGAAGTTCACAAGTAAAATGTCAAGATTCCTCATTTCACAAAGCAACGGGTTCTTACAGCCACACACAACAGAACAGAAAAAGGCTAAGCTTGTGCAACGTTTACGGAACGAGAATAACAATAACAATCATATGTACAGCAATTCGATCCTGCGCGGGAGACTGCGCGGGGGTGACCGGAGTGAGGTCGGGGGCGTGCGCAGGGGAAGCTGAGGTTCTCACTTTCCAGCTCTTGGGGTTCAGTGCGCCGAGGCACACCTGCCTGCCTGTTTGCTGCCCAGTGAGACCCGTCTCTTCTCCTCCAATAGGGAAGAAACTGGGTTTTCTTTCGTGCCCAGGCAAAAACAAGGAAGTCTTTAGTTATATGGGATGTGTAAAAAAAAATCATTTGGCTCCAGCCTCTCCATACCCGCAAGGTACAAAAAAGATCCTGTATAAGTTAAAATTCGCGTCTTCCTTGTTTGCTTGCTCCTGCGTGTTTCAAGTAAACGGTGCGTCCAGCCCGCGCGCTGGACCGGCGCCGCGGAACAGCTAGTCTCCCGACGGGCCGGTGGAGTCCACGTCTCAATAAATAAAATCCCCTCCCCTCCAGTTCTCCCCAGTTTCCGAACAAGCTGCACAGGTGGTCAGGTGCGGCCTACAGGACCGGAGAAGACAGCACGTGGCCAAACCCCAGGCTTGGGGCGTTCGGGCAGGGCAGACAGCCTGCTTGCCGCTTGGACCTGGTGCGTGTGCATAGCCAACGGGACTAGGACGGCGGACGGAAGCGCAAGGGCCTAGACGTCGCCAGCACACAGACAGCGAACAACGAAGAGACAGGACAGAAAAGAGCGTTGGCTGCGCTTTTTTGTTTTCCTGATAGTCCCACAAAGCTGGGGAGTCGAGCGGCCCGTCTCGGGGGCTGTGCGGGCGCTCCGAGGCCACTCGGAGGCCATCACCAGGGAAGCCAAGGTCGGGATGGGAGTGGCCCCCCCGCCCTGGCAAAAAGCTCAGGCTCTGGGGAGGCGCATGGCCGGCCCACGGGGCTCCGAGCGGCGGCAACCGTGCTGCTTTCGCTGCTCCTTCTTTTCCCTCTGCTCCGGGCTCTGACGATAGGGATGTGGAGTGGCGACGGACTTGGAGGCGGGAGGGGCCCGGGCCGGAGGAAGACGGGAGGGAGACGGGCAGATGGGTGCGCTCACATGAGCTGGGGCTGCGGCATGGCTTCTTGGTGTGCCGAGGGGTACCACGACGTGTAGCTGGGGATGTAGGAGCCGGCGCTGCCGCCCGAGCCCTTCCCGGATGAGGAGTTAGGGTTCCAGCCGGGCGGCACGGGAGGGGAACCCGCAGACAGGGCCCGGCCGTTGGCCAGCGCGCTGCTTTCCAAAGCCGCCCCGCCCTGCTTCATCAGCTTCTTGAACTTGGAGCGTTTGTTCTGGAACCAGATCTTGACCTACGAGAATGGACAACATGACTTGGGCTGTGGCGCGGGCCAGGAGGAAGCCCCGGCCTAGAGTCGCTGAGGCCACCCTCCCCTCCACATAAACCAGAGGGTTCGAAGGAAGCCCGGGCCGCCCCTGGGAAAGCCAGGAGCGGGAACGCAGTGGCGTGGCGAGGGCCCTGCCTGTGGGGTACCTAGGCCTTGCCCGTGCCAGAGGCTCAGTCCCAACTTGGTTACCAAAGATAGAGCAAACAGCACCCTGCCCCAACAGCACTGAGCAACCAGTTCTGCTTATCAACACCAATAAAAGAACCGAAAACTAGGGGAAAGTGGAGGATATTTATTTGTAATTGTACCATCTTCTTTCTGTGCTGTGCCTTTTCGCGCTTAAGTGAGTTGGGTGGGGACTGCCCGAGGAGGCCGCGAGGTTTCGTTGAACTTTACTTTGGATAAAAAGCGATCTGGCCCTAGGGGTCTGTTGGCTTTCACCAGCTCTGCTCCAGATGTCCAGTGGGATGTTGGAATCCCCAGCCAGACACCAACCCATCCCCCATAGATGCGCCCCCAGAGATTTAGCAATCCGGAAACGGAAAAGTCTCCTTTCTCTTTTAGAGCCTGGGACCCTAGGTGAGGGGGGGGAAAAGTAGGGAATTTCTTCATCCTGCTCACCCTTCCCTTCGGAAGAGCGGGAGGAGGAGGAGGAGGGGTGATTGGCCACACATTGTAAAGGCAAATGGGGGGAATTAAGCCCCGCCACTATTGTTTCAGTTGTGGAGACACGTGTGACCTCAGGGACCCCAAACTAAACGCCTAGGGAAACCCTTCTTGCGCCCTAATCAGATTGTCTCTGGATGACATGAGGGGAGGGGGATGTGGCTGGCAGGCGTCAGACAGCAGAGGAGCCAGGGTAAGAGGAGTGAGAGCCAAGGTGCACTCCGGACAGACACACACACGCCCCGACATCCCAACCCTGAGGCCCAGCGCCCAAGAAGTGGAGCCCCAGCCGGGCGGGAAGCCGGCTGGGCCGGCTGGCTGGGGCCAGGTACCTGCGTCTGCGTGAGTCCCAAGGAGGCCGCGAGCTCCGCCCTTTCGGGCAGAGCTAGGTACTGAGTTTGCTGGAACCTCCGGTTCAAAGCCTGCAACTGCAAACTGGAATAAATCGTCCTTGGTTTACGGATCTTTTTCCCCTTGCCATTGAAGCGCACTTCGCCGCCTTCCACCACCGTGCTCTTCTCCGAGTCGGCCCCTGCGGGGGACAGCAGAGCAAGGGGCTCAAGGTTACGCAGAAGGAGTGCCTGGAAGACGTGGAGCCAAGAACAGGCAGGCAGCCTCCAGGGTTGGGGTCGGGGTGGCGGGTGGCCAGGGCTAGGGCCAGGAGGCCCCAGGCCAGGCCAGGTTGGCCGGAAAATGCTCCAGAAAACTTGGAGGCCAGAGAAGGGTCCCCAGAGACCGTCGGTCAGGTCTCGGCCATCCAGGCCCTCCCCCCCCAACCCCCCGCCACGGGAGTGCAGCTCCTGCCTTTGCAAGAGAAAGTTTGCTATTTTTCGCAGGCAGTAGTTGGAGGTTTAATTGCCCTTAATTGCATACATTGTTTATAGCTCTACGCAATAAATAATTACCGAGACGAATACGTGTACGTGTGGGTTTCTGTTTTCCAGCAGCGGGGCAGCGTGCGCACAGCGCAGCCAGTCGCCCAGAAGCCCCAGCTAGTGCCAGCAGACGGCTCGAGTTCACCCTTTGCGGGATTCGTGATGAACTGAGTGGATTTTTTTCCCCTTTAATCTCAGCTTTGACAAGGAGGCAGAGGTTGATATCCGAAACCTCCATCGCTCCCGCGCCCTCCCCACCCCTACCCCATCTCTTTCTCTCTCACTCTTTCCTCTCCCCTCCCCTTCTCTCCCGGGCAAGCGCACGTACCTGGATCCTCCAGGCGGCTCTGGGCGAGGCTGGCACTGCCCGGGTAGGACTGCACCGAACTGATGTAGGGGCTGGACGCGTGGCTGCTGACCGAGTTGACGTAAGGGTAGCCCAGCGGTCGGGAGAAGGACGAGGCCGAGCTGTAGGCACCGTCGGGCTGCGAGTGGCCCGCCGAGTGCAAACAGTGCATGGAGTAGTGCCCGTGGGACATGGGAGAAGGAGACATCTGCTGGTTGGGCGGCCCAAACTCCATAAAGACCGCCTTGCCCGACACGGGGCTGTTGAGACTTTCTGGCATGGTGGTCATGGTCATCTCTTCTCGCGGGGTCTGAGTGTGGGTCTCTCTGTCTCTCCTCTGCTTCCCTTTTGGGGGTTTCTCTGTGTTTCTCAGGACAGGAAGGAACCCAATTTAAGAGGAACAGGGGTTTTCACTTTCCATTCATAAGAAAATGGAGTTTGTCCCTTTGAAAAGTCCGAGCATGATGCCGCCGAGCTCCCCAAACTCGGTTCAAAGCTTTGACTCAGCCGAGGTCATAAATATTCATGAGCTGGCGGAGCTGATTGGTCCGCCGTCTTGCATAATCACCGAGGATTGGCCCGAGGAACTCCGGCTCCGCTGGACCAGAGCGGGAGAGGCGGCCCGGCCTCGGGAGAGCCGCGTCCACACTTCCCGGCCTGGGCTCCTCTGCAACAGAGCGGCGCCGCGCGGGGCGCACGAGGGGCTGGGGTGGGGGGCGTCCGCGCGCGCACGGCAGTCTGCTCGGCCTCCCGCCTCCCCTGCTCTTTTCTCCTCCCAACCCCCGCTCCACCGCCGCGGTCCTCCCCTCTTACGGTCCGCACACCCTCCGCCCACCCCAGAAGCTGCGGGACCCCGGAGCGCCGCTCAACGCCGCCACCCACCCAGTCCCGCGCTCCGCAGCCTTGGCCGTCACTGGGGGGCGAGCATTCACAGCCAGCCGCGCACTGGGGGGCGCCCGAGGCGGCCCGACACAGCAGCCCTCCCTGGCGGCCCGTTTCTAGCGCCGCGCCCGGCTGGTCACATTCCCTGGGGTCCGGGCCTGGGGGGCCTTCCGGACAGACTCACTCACTGGGCCGCTGCCGCCGCTCCCTGGGGCCCGCTCGCATTGCTCCAGGCCCAGCTGGCCACTCCGGCTCGAGGCTGCACTGGTCTGATTAAAGCAGTGCGCGCGGAGAGCCAGGAACCCGCGCCTCTCTTCCCAGGAAAGGCGGCCGCACCGCCCCCTCCCCCATCACACACCCTTCTTCCCTCCCCCACCTTCCTCCGCCTCCCTCTCCCCTCTGCACTCCCTCTGCGCAGGGCGCCCCGGGCTCACTCTCCCGGAGGGCGCCGGGCAGCGTGGAGCCCCGGGGGACCGCGCACAGCCTGTTTGCTCCGGCCGCGAGCGCCAAATGCTCATTTTGCGGCCTCCTGGGTGTCTGGCGATAGCACCCCAGGCTCAGGAGTCCAGGGGGGTGGGATGGACGCCGAAAACCCGCAGTCAAACCAGGCCTCTGGTAGGTTCCAACATATCCGTGTGCAGACACGTCTTTCACGGTCGCCCAGGGTCTTCCTCACCTCCAGGGGCCAGAGTTGGCGCCACCGGGTCTAGTGGCCCCGGAGCTAGTGGAGGCAGAGGGCGAAGCTACGACGTCTCCTTCTGGGATACTGGGCATAGAAAAGCTTGCGGAGAAACCCCCCAAACACCCCGCCCTGCAGCCCCAGCCACCACCGGGCCACCCCCAGGCGGTGTGGCGCACTCCACGCTGGTTGCCAGGGCGCTGTTAGTCTCCCCCACCCCATCCCACCAGCCCCACAGTGAATTCCCAAATTACTTTGTTAGGTAATTAGAAAGTGTTGATAATTATTTCTTTCATCATTTAGCGGTGTGACGGGAACGGGGAAATGATCTTGTGAAAGTTCACACGTGCAGATGTATTAGTTACTGATTCATTTGATTAAATGGTAGTCTCAAGTGCTCAGATCCGCAGCTGAAGGCGCCCCATTAGCATAACACTGATGTTTAATTTTCATACGCATAATTAGCCATATATTTAACACTAATAGCAACATGCAGCCTTTAAGCGTTCAACAGCCCGGGGTTTGATCTGGCCTGAGCTGAACCTTCGCCGCTGCACCTTCCCCTATGTGGAGTGTGTGGTGATCACGGGACAAACCTCTGTAATCAAGCACATTTTGGCAGAGGGAACGCCAATAAAAATGAACATTCAAAACAAATTACATCGGTGCTGTCGTTACAGATATTAGTGGAGGGAGTTTCTCAGTTTCAACTTCTGCAGCGACGGCTGCAGGCCACGGAGTCGCTCCTCTCTCTCTCTCTCTCTCTCTTTTTTGTGGTGGTGGGGGGGGGATAAGGGCATGATGCCGGGGGCAGAAATATTTCAGGCAGCGTGGCGTGGTTGGAGAAAAAAAAACGAAAAAACAAAGGCAAAGCAAGAAAAAAAAAAAAGCCAGTCCTCCAAACCAATAACAGGTTTGCCAACGTTTAAAAGATTTTTTTTCAAATCTTAATCACCGAACCACAACGGTGAGGCTTTGTAGCAACAACCTAACTAATGACTGCCACCAGACGCGTCCGGCAGCAGCTCGGCTCGTCCAGATCCTCCGTGGTGCACTGGTGGTTTTCACTGCTCTTTCCCAGAGCCCGTTTTGGGGGTGTGGAGCGCGGTCCGGAGCACCCCAGCACAGCTGCTAGGACGCCGCCCAGGTCCCGGGTCTCTCGCGCGCGCCTTGCGGGGCCCTGCGCACGTAAGTGATCGCCGCGGCGGGCACCAGGTCGGGGGTGGGAGTGGGTAAGGCTGGTTGCAACGCACTCTTGGGGCTCAAGGTGAGGTGTGAGGAACACTCGGTGGCTGGACAGTTTAGAGCCGGCTTAGGGAACAGTGGGGCGGGAGAAAGGGCGAGAAGGGCCCGCCGTGTTTGGGCAGTGTCCCGGGCGCTCGACTCCGTTTCTCCGCGCCTGGAGCCAAGAAAGACCTTGGCGGAGAATGGAACCTGGACAGGCTCCAAATCCGCAAGCGCCACCTCGGGATGTGTTTTCAGAACCTTCGCTTAATTAAGAAGTGAATTGCGTGCAGGCGAGGGAAAGTAAAGTCTACACTTTAGAATTATTTCTTAGTCCGGAGAAACAGGTCGGGGGGGGGGTGGCGCTAAATCGTGGTGGGTAACGTCGCGGGTCTCCAGCGGTGGCTTCTCAGTGAAGGATCTTCGCTATCCTCCCGGGCCCCGGGGTAGATTCCACCCTCATCCTACCACCTCTGCTAAGTGACACCTACTCTGAGAGACTGGGTTGCTAAGATTTTCTTCTGCCTAAACTCCGTGTGCCCCGAGTGTCCCCGACTTGAGAGTAGAACTTCCCCGGGGGTTGGGGAGCAGGTGGTTCTGGCCAAGGTAGCCATAGTTGTAACTGGCTGGAGTTTTTGTGGCTCTGGGAGAAGTTTGTGGGCAGTTTAGCAGGCAGATGGATGAGGAGGTCCTGACAAGAACTTTTTTTTTTTTTAAGAAAACCTTTTTCTGTCTCAATTTCAATGCAAGTTAAAGGGAGTTTATTCTAGTTCAAGTTCGTTTCTGACAGAGCTGCTGATCATAGGGAGATGGATGTGTCTAGATCTAGATCACACACATATAAAACTTTAGTGACTTTAATAAATGGGATGATAAACCCATCCCATAAACACCTCGGAGTCATTGCTGCACCATGGTCCTCCAGGAACCTCCCATTAAGCTGATCCACAGATAAGATACCAGGTTAATGGGTGCAAAGCCATTGCTCTTGGACGGAAGTGAGCTCATGCTGGTGTGCACATCTCCAAGGCCTCCCTGGAGAATCTGCACTGTTCCGGGACAGCAGCCTCAGTCTCTGGGTCTCCAAAACTACACCCCCACCCCCAGGAATCTTGTAAATCTACAGCTCCTCCTCTTTTCCAGCACATTAGAATCAGGATCACCTCAATCAAAACCCGTATCCCCAAACACAGAGAAACTGAGCAACAAGGGGGTGCTGGATAGCTCAGAAAACCTTGAATTCAAGCAGAAGTTAGAATCCATCACTTTTCCACACCAACTTATTGTCCTGTTTTCCAATTCCTTGCCCACTCACCCCTTCCCTTTAGGTGTGGCAAAGACAAGGTAGTTCTTTTCCCCACCCCGGATGACCAGACTTATCCTCTGTCTTGGCATCTCCACATGGTTACACTTCCTTAGTGACCACTGTAAGCCGAAGCCACTTTTGGAAGATGCCCAAGTGACCACTGTAAGCCCAAGCCATTTTTGGTCGACCCCTTCTTGGTAGAAACAGGAGTTGGTACAGCTGCTGGCGGCCAAGGCACTCTCAGTGGACTAGTTCCTGAACCATAGGCTTCCTTCCAGGACTCCCTACCCAGGTGCCCAGGTGTGAACAGATCTGGGGAGCAAGTACAAGGCAGAGTACTCCAGGCTGGAATGGGAGGCCAGGAAACCTTGAATTCGTTTCTGCTAGGGTAGGTCGCAGCTGCACTGAGAAGTGAATCCTCCAGCTATGTGGTCCTATCTCCTCTTGCTGGGATGGGAGAGTGCTCTCTGGAATGTTTGGCTTCTGTGCACCTCCCCACCCAGGCCCCAGCCTAGCCTGGAGTCATTCAGGGCCAGTCCTGTTGGGGGACCAGCCTGCCTGCGCAGAGCTGTGCCTTCTGTACAAGGGCAGCCCAGGTTTTTGACTCCTGGTGCAGCTGCGGATTTGGTGTGTGGGAGAGGGAGAGACGGGGGCTGGAGAGGGCCAAGAGGAGGGTCTCAGACTCCACGTCAAGGATGGGGTCCCAGGGTCGGATGCATGCTCCCTGGGAACAGCAGCCACCAGCCCAGGAATAGTTGGTATTTCTGGATTGGCAGAAGCAATGATGGGCCTGATCCACTGGGAATCCACAGCTAAGGAAGTATTTGCGAACAGCTCTTCTCACAGCACAGCCCGGATCCAAGGGAAATGAATGAAGGGCCAGGGGCATGGGAGCAGGTGCTGCCCTCTGGATGCACCTGGGATCCCTAGCGTCTGAGCCACAAGAAAAACATTCACAAAAATTCGCAGCTAACAGGTTTGCACATTGAAGTGGAGATTCACAAACCAGCAGGCCACCCTCTCCCCCTTGTCTCTTAGAGATGAAAGCAGTGCAGACACAGGCATCTTAAAGAGGGGCTTTTACTCAGCAGAAGACAAGGCAAAGGGAAAGCAGGCTCTCCGTTCACTTCCAGGGGGCAGGGCAGGGGTGCCAGCCTGGGGGCATTTCTCCAGGACGCCAGCACAGGTCGCATCCACGCTGGTGGCCGGCTCCCAGCTCCATCCCAAAGTTTTCCAGCATGCCTCACTCTGGGCCGCAGCTGCTCCTCAGGCCTCGTGGGGCAGCTTGGTAAGGATGTGTGCGCCCCTCGAGGTGATGAGCACCGTGTGCTCAAACTGGGCGGACCTGAAACGCGTGGAGCCGTGGTCAGCAGGCACGCAGCGCTTACCTCCTCACCTCACCCCCCAACTTCCCCTAAAGATTTTAAAAAGCGCAGGGGCAGAAAAGCAGACACCTTTGGTTGTCCAGAGAGACCGCAGTCCACCCGTCCTCCAGGACCTGAAATTCAGGAGATCCCTCGGTGATAATGGGCTCTGAAAGAAGCAAAAATATTTACGGCAGTGACCTCATCAGATTCGTGTCAAACATTGTTTCTGCTGATTGGGGGGAGGGGAACTAAGGGGAGAGAATAGGCAGGTTCTCCCCCACCCCTCAAATGTTTCCCCCACAGGTTCTTGTTGTCATTGGGAGGGCTGATAATTAACGCCCCGTTCAGGACGCACTACAAACCAAACAGTGGGAAGAGGAAAGCTGCTACGGCAGCCATACAAAATGAAGGAAGTTGCCTGGTTTGTGATTTTTTTTTTTTTTTAGAGAAATAAGGGCATTTTAATCAAGCCTTAATTAGGACCCCGTGGATAATAACCACCCAAACACCAGTCCTTCTTATTATAAATACCAGTCGGTTTTTAAAAATATTTAAATTTTTAAAACACGCTCAAAATGTTCATTAATGAGCAAATAACAATTTTCTTATTTCACTCTAATTGCTTCTCCATTAAGTCCCACAGTCAGAAATCCGCTGAATTCAGGGCCCTAGGTGATTGGGATTTGGTGGTGACACCAATCACGCCATCAGACTCTTGTCACACCAAAGCCAGAGCACACGTGCCACTCGCTGACAGGGCACAACGGATGCAGTTGCCTCTAGTTACTGGGTGTTAATGAACACACACACACACACACACACACACCCGAACGCCACATTATGCTGGTAACAGAATTAGAGGTTGGCCTCCTGCCTTCTCCTAAATGTGTTGGTAAGTATCTGATTTAGGAAGACGGGGCTCGAAGATGCTGTTTAATCAGATTTGCTATGCATCCGAATTATTTCATTATGATGATTGGGTTTATTAGTCCTTCTTGGGGCTGCCGGGCCCGGGCCAGCTTCCGGCCAAGAATCAAGGTTGGGGGAGGAGGGGGCCCAGTATTACCTATGGTGAATGCCATGCCCTCCTCCATGCGTAGATCGTTGTCATTTGCTGCCAACAGAAAATGAGGTGGTGAGAGCAGGAAATAGGAAGACAGCCAGAAACAGAGCAGGGTGGGGTTACTTAAAAAGTGGTCACTCTGCTCTGCTTTTGAGGAAACAGTGGCCATGCACAGAGCCCCGGGGCCTTAGTTTGTATTTTCTAGGCTGTGGGCAGAGGACCCTTCCCCTGTTCCCTCCTCCCCGACCAAAGAAACGTACTGAGGCCTGACAGGGGCAGCCAGGGTGATTTAGACAGCTGTGCAGCTCCCTGCCTTGCTGCCATGCCCCCCACCTCACCCCAACCGCATACCCGGCCACCTGCTGCTAGGTCTCTAGGCCCAAGGGAATTACAGGCCCTACTCACACTCCTAGCCCCAGAAAGGAAGCAAGCCCGGGGCAAGCATACACAGATAGCACAAAGCCCTGAGAGTGTAGGCGCTGGGGTAGGGCACTGGGCTCCCTCTACCGCTCTTTCTGTGTGGCTCCCTGGCCCTTTTCTGAGCTCCTGCTGGGGCTGCTGGGAGTTCTGTCTTACCAATCTCCAGGGATCCCCTAGGGGGTAGTTCCTGGCACCAGTTCCACTGGGGCCTAGTCCATCTCAAGTGTGAAAATCAAGGGCCCAGAACCAGTAATTTTCCCCCAGAACCAATGACTTTCCAGGTGTGCCCTGCCCCCTAGCCCCATCCCCTCCTCCTGCAGTGGGGGGAACGGAAGAGGGGCAGCCCACTGAGCTGGCCTCCCATCTTAGTCCAAATCCTCAGGCCCTGCAGTCCCACCGAAGGACCAGGCAAGTGAACTTCTCCCAGGCAGTGCCACACAGGAGGCTCTGGGAAGGAACACAGGGTGGTCATAATCTAGAAATCACTAAAGAGTACATGCTGCGAACTACATCAGCTGTCAGCGCTGTGTGGGATGTAATGAAGTTTAACCACAACAGCCAGCGGTTAGAGAAGGGGGTAGGGAAAGAAAAACAGAAAACAGTCATATGTGCACGCTGCTGGGAGTTGATGCAGTGGCATTTTGTCTCCAGGAACTTTTTTTTGAGACAAATTTCCCTTGTGCCTTAAAAGCCATGCACTCCTTTGGGCAAAGACAAAGAGGAAAATAAGCCTTACTCTGGGATGAAACTTCTGGGCTCTGATCTAGTAACTTAGTAATGTGCAGTAACATAGTGATGTGCTGGTTCAAATCAAGCAGACAAATCTCCCCTCTCAATACACATACACTCTCACATACACACACAAACACTCAGAGGACAATCAAAATTCAAAGGTAGAGGAAGAGCTTCAGGAGTTAAAATCACCTTCTTCTGACCCTATTCAGTATACAGTTTCCAAATCAATTTCCTTACCATGATGCCAAATTTCTGGATGTCCATGAAAGTACGATCCTATTCCATGTCCCACAAAATGTGGGCAGACTTGCAAACCATTCTGTCGAGTTATACGGCTTTGGAAGTAAAAACAACACAAAGATGCTTAAAGTAGGTAAGTGCTTAATCCATACTAATATAAAACAAAATGACTTTAAAATCACATCTGAAAAAGAAAAAAAAATCCATATTGCTGAGAGTCAGGTAGTATTCACATGCTTTCATCACACTGAAATGATCTTACTTTTCACAGTTGCTTGTAACAACTCCACTCGGATACAGGAAGAAGATTATGTAGCAGCTGCAGTTGTTTGAGTCAGTGACCTTAGCAGAGCAAGTTGCTCTCAGACCACATGCACACACCTACAGACTGGTGCACTTATGTGTACATACGGTACAAGTCATAAGCTGTCTGCTTTCCATGGGGTTTCACAAAAAATTACTACTTATTTGTAATCCAACTGAAAGAAAACATTAAAATTAAGGACTGTGATTTGCTACTTTTGTGGTTCCCTTTATTCTAATCTATTTCAAAACCATCATGCAGTTCGCAAACATAATCACACAGAAGGCAAGATCTGCTTTGTCAGTATTTATGAAACACTCCAAAACTTATTGATAATTTGGGAGTTCCACTCAATCCCTACAGTATTACAACATTTATAAAGAATGGTTGTTAATCATGATGATGCTTAAGAGAAGCTAGTGTCGATCCTTTTTAATTCTTAAATTTTTTTAATTGTATTTATTTGAGAGGCAAAGAGATATGGAGAGGGAGACAGAATGAGCTGCTGTTCACTAGCTCACTTCTGAAATTCTCACTGTCAGGATCCAAACCCAGCCACCACACTGTGGGACACAGGTGTTCTACCTTGCTTCGTAACAGCTGAACCAAATGCCCCATCATGGGACTAATTCTTAATCTTTCGTAAGATATTTGTATATGTAGATATTCTGGATTCCATCAATTCTGTATGAATCTAGCACATCAAATCTAACCTTAAAAATTTCAACGATCAGGTGGAGAAGACCCTGTAGCCAAGAGGGGCGCAGGTTTATTTCTGAGGGTATGACACAGACAAGAACAAGGATTCTGTCAGCGGTTCATATTTTCACGTGGACAAGGGCATAAAGTCCCTAAACCTTATTCAAATGGAGTGGCGTTTACAAGCTTACTATTTCAATTCTTAATGAAATTAAAGCTTTTACATCACAAACTAGAGTTGTCAGCTGACTGCAGCTTGAATTCCACAGGAACCCAAAGGCTTCTGGCCAGCATTGTTTTAGGACATTTTTTTAAACCATCTCTAGACTTGTAAGAATGTTCAGTGAGACTAGATGACAATGCAACCAGTGAGGGGCAGCCTCTCATTCCTATTTCATTTCAAAGTAAAACTCACAGTGTAAAAATGGATGAGCTAGTCCCACACTGAGGACAATTATGACAAGTCAATATTTGCATGTCTGAAGTTACTCAGTTATGATTATTTCTGTGTGTCTTTCCCAAAGTGTTTCTACTACACAATTTTTAAATAGATAGGAAGAATGGAAAAGATATTGCTGAATAAGATATAATGCTCTAGATTTTTTTTAAAGATCCTACCTAAATCCATAAATTATGTAAATTTCAAACTCCACAAACCTCAGTGATTCAAACAGCATTCAATACAAACTATTCTCTTATTTTCTTCTTTAAAAAAATTCTAGTTTTTTTTTGAAGGATCCGATTGATTGGCAGGCATCATGGCCACATCTTAAACATGTTACAATGGCAACCTTCATTTTAATTTCCGATGAGAGGAGCGGAAGAAAGCCCACTCTGGAAAAACACTCGGGGTCCCTCCCCCACCATACTTCTCACTCCTCTTCATAAAAGAAGCTGTGCAATTACCAGACAGCTAGAGATATCTGAGTGCATGCTCCTACAATTGACTCCCAGGTTCCTGCTGGAACTTCCGGCCACAGGAGTATTGCAGAATGCCTGTGTCAAGCACCTAAAGGTTAGGACATGTCCCGGAGAGGAGAGCTCAGGGCGAGCGGGTCACCTCCCCTGGAGTATTCCCATTAGGACTCCAGTGCCAGGGACCCAGTCTGTGCACTTCTGTCCTCTTTTCGGGGTATCAGTCATCCTTTTAAACAGGCAGTTCCTTTTCAATGCATACCACTGGGACCGCATGGGATAGCAGGTCATGAGTGCTTCCAACCTCTATTTAAGGGTCTGTCTCTTCTGTCATTTTGGGATACACAGGGAGCAGGAGATTTACTTGTTTGTAGGGTTTAAATCTCACTTCCTAGACAATCCAAGTGACTTATAGTGGCAAATTTCTCTCCCTTTACCAGATCATAGATGCTGGTAAACCCTAACTGGCATGGGTAGACAGAGGCGTGGATATGCCTCTTGGAAGACGTGTCACCGAGAGAACAGAGGGAAATCGCAGGGCAGATGTTGCTCTGGGTTGCCTGTGGTCAGCTGCTGCAAGCTGCAGTTTATGCACACAAGGATCTCCGTGCCCTGAACCTCTCACCTGCATCTCTCTGCTGAAACCTCCAGTCCTGAATCCCTCTAATTGAATGCCCTCTAAGACCAAAGGATGCCTGCACGTGAGGCTGGGCTGTTTGGGTTTGTCTGCAGAGTGGGAAAAGGCGGAAGCAGGTGTATAGAGGCAGCTGACAGCCTTGCTTTCCAGTGATGCCCTGCTATCACAGCTCATGTTTCAGCTAGTGTGGGGACAGAACTCTTCTTTAAGAAGCTGTATCTTATAACCATCGCTGGTGGCTTAATTCCCGTTCATGTGACAGTTGTACTCTATGAAGCGTTTTCTGGATGAATTCCATGTCTTAATCCATTTCAACTACTTTTTTCATATTCTCGGCCAGGGCAGAGGACTACTGTGTTTAAGCCAGTGCTCTCATAAAGACATCTAAGTGCACAAGGAAATGGTTTTCCGACAGTTTCGCATGAATTCTATTAACAAGACTGATCTTCCAATGGCCACCTCTCCAGTGAGGGATTTCAAATGGCACCTGATTAGATAAGTTATGGAGTTTGATCTTAATCCTTCTAGAGTTTTAGAATCAACAGTGTTCTCTGAGTGAATACAAACCCAAATCCAAGGATTCCCTTTAATGACAAGGAATGTTTGAAGTACAATTAATGGTATTTTTGAAAGCCGATAACTGTTTTCTAAAAGAATGGTATTTTTTTTTGTTTGTTTCAAACTGGATCACAAATTACTGTATTTTTCTTATAATAGTGCTGAACTTTTATTTGGGGTTTTCCTGTTTCTGAAAAGCAGACATGATGGATTGAAATAAAAGATAATTTATTGCAATGCTTACTTTCATGTGCGGAGAGCAGTGTAATTGTAATTTACAGTAGCTGTCAAGAAAAATCCATCACAGATGACGTTAAAATGACTTATTTTGCCTGAGCCAGTTATTGTTTAAATGTGCATAATCTAATAGGGATTGTTTTCTAAAATCTGCTCTGTATTGTTCTAAATTAATATCAAAACATATACTTATGATTTAAATATTAAAAGCCAATTATTGATACCCTTATCATGACACATTGACAACTCTAAGTTTAAGTTGGATTGTCACATATTTGTGATGCCTGATTCTACACATTCTCATCATATTTTCATGTGAATGGATCATATAATCCAGAGGTGGCAACAAAAAACATGCAGATTTGGCAATAACTGCAAGGAAGTGGAGGCCGCGTGAGTATAACAACTTCAAGACTAAGCTTGCTGGGCACCCTTGCAAAGCCGAAGGGTGCAGAGAGAACACTGGTCGTTAAATCATTTCAGCTGATATCTCTGTACAGATTCCACTCTTTTTCAGCTGTCAGAGGAAAATTTCCAAATTTCCAACAGTGATCTGGAAGTCTTTTGCCAAAGTCGTTTGCAGTATTCATGCTACGATGCAGGACGAATGTTCTTTTCCTTGTGTCTCCGTAGACAGAAGCTATGCAAGAGTCAAAATCTTAGAATAAATGATATCGGGTTGAAGGATGTTTGTAAACGTTTAAGCTGTAATGATTTTAAGGACTTCTGGCTTACAAGTGAATATCATTTCTTTATTTCCTCCCTCAAGATACTGCTTGAATGAGAAAAGGTACAAGAGAGATGTCCAGAGCCACCGCTCTCACACATCAAATCAAACATTTGTTAGAATCGGGGCCAACTTCCTCCCCAGCGGCAGACCGAAACCATCTAAATAATGAAATGTATTGGGGGAAAAGGAAAAAGTTCATTGTCTGTTATTTCCCACATAGTTTTTTGTAAGTACAGTTGTTTGGGACTGGTCTGGTTTTCAAAGGAGCTCATACATACAAATTCATACTCTGTGAAAACTGACCTTTGCTTCCAGATAGCTAAAATCCAATGTCACTTTCAATTCTACTCTTCTTCTTCTTTTTTTTTTTTTAAATGTGCCTAGAATTAATGCAGTGCATATGTAATGAGATGCATTATCCTGCATGGAGATTTATCAGATTTCCCGACTGAATGCTGTGCTTTGCTAGTACACACTGGAGTTCACCTGCATGTTGGTGTGGCGTGTGGCTCTTTTTTGTAAAGAGTTAAGTCGTACACAAAAAAAGAGAACAAAGGTCAGCACCCAGCCGCCACTTGAATGTGAGATTTTTCTTTTTATTCCCCTTGATGTATACTAGCCTCCGTGTTATTAGTCTTAATGATGGAAAATTGTAGTGTTGATACAAATCTTTTTTTCAAAGTAGTAGGCGGGAGCTCCATTTGTTAGTAAGTTTTTTTCTGTGACTAAAAGCCACGGACAGTACATTTATGTAGCAGTAAAAGGCCTAGATGCTCTTTCCATAGCAGAGCTAATTATTCCTACTGTGACCTTACTGATCCAGCCTGTTCCTAGCACATCTCATCTGCACGCCTGTCCCTCTGTGTAGATGGTGTCAGGGAATATGAAAAACCCTATAATGAAACCATTTTCATGATGGAGAAAGGCTACTGGAGTTGCACTTGCTACAAAGAGGCTCAATTATAGGAGTAATTGTGATAATTTTCTACATTCATAGCCTTCAATGGGGAAAAAAGAGTGAGAGCCACAAAGGAAAATTACTTTAACAAGAAAGTACAGAGAGTAAAAATGGAAGAAGAGACAAAAAGGGGGAAAAAATAACCAGAAAAAAAAAAGTTTAAAAAATAGATCTGGAGGGAGGAATAGCGAGACAGGGAGAACAACAGAAATGCTCAAAAGCCCATGTGCAGCTGTGGTGCACAATTAAATTGAATTTTTTTTTTCCTGCAGTTGATGAATGTGACTACTGCAAATGTGCCTCTGTAGTTAGCTATCATTTGTTGTTCCGTGACAGGAAAAGGATAATTACCTCTCAGAGAGAATCAAAGGCTGACATGCCCTTTAGACACAGCCATGAATGCAGAGCTCCATAGAATGCTTGAATAAGAATCCAGTGTTCTCTGCCCCCTTCCACTGAAGAATAAATTTTGTTAAAATGCAAGAGCACCACCAGTAAATTTGTTGAACCCTAGGTGTTCAAAAATATGAGGTGCATCTATCGACTCATCCCATTTGCAAAAATAAAACTGCATTTTGAATTCATTTCTATTATATTCATGGGCAGTAAGATAGTGAGATATGCATTAAATTTCTTTTCCCAGTAGGGGTCTGATTCAACATTTCCTATGAAAGAACAGAGAGACACTATCCTTTTTTCCCAGGCTAGTTAGCCTATAATTTAAAACTGTCAAAAACACAATTTTGTGCAAAGTCTTCAATAAAAGCTTCTCAGATATAACCCAAAGAGATTTTACTAAAGTTTGATTCAGACATTGTTACAATATTTTTTAAAGCCATAAATACATTTAACTGATATTTTACTGCCTTTTTTCTTAAAGGATTGGAAGGCATACGAACGAAAAAGGCAGCATCTTTTCAAGATGACTAGACTTCCATCCTTCAGACAAATGGGAAGTATTCAGTGGTGTATATTAATGATGACAGAACATCAAGGGGTACTGAGGTGATCATCTTTAACGAAATACACTCTTTTTAAATGAAAACACACACTCTGCCTATTTCAAGACAGTTAGAGTTGCGGGGGGGGGGGGGGGAAGACCTAAAAGTAGATGACAGATTACAAAGGAAAGTCTTGAATTCAGAAAACACACAGGCTCAGAAAGCTGGCCTAGAACAAACACCGTGAGGAAACAAACCACAGTTTCTAGGGGAAATGAACCCGACAACAAAAAGGACAGTGGGCCCAGGCTCTCTGCTGATGTGCAGGTTTGGAAGGGAAAGCTTGCTGGAGGGAAAACTTTCCCTCTTTGTGTTGTAGGAATCTGCTCCACTTGATGCCTGGATACAATTCAGCTGTTTTTCTCCTGCCACAGGAAAATGGGAGGCTCACTCCCTGGGAGGCGTTTCTTCCACGTGTGCTAGGTGCTGGCCTTTTGGCAAAGAAACACCACACACCTATAGGTCAAGCAGCCACACAAATATTGCATATGAATGCAGCCATACAAATATTGCTTGCTGCTCCGGTAAGTTTCTTTGCTGACCTTGCTATAATTTTTTTAAGACTTTTTTTTTCTCTTCAATTCAGGGAATAACACTGGCAGTTCACATACTGATATCAGACTGTAATGATGGCTCCGAATCACAAAACATGTCATCAGCTTTATACCAAGCCACCAAGTAACCTTAGTGCCATTTGCCAACCCTCCCTTTACTTGTCAGTGCAAGGCTTACCTGATTGTGTTTCCAATTACAGAAAAGGGGGCCCCCACTCTGCAGGCTGCAATTGCTTCATCTCTACACCTCCTGGCAATCTCTACTAGCTTTTTACCACGTTCATCCACATTGCCCACCAAAAATGTCTCCGAGGTGTCCCCGTGGTAGCCGTTGAAATAGACCTAGACACAGGCAGACATTTTACAATGCATCCTTATTTAAAAGTCTACTCTTCTAAATACACACTGTGTTCATGTGATGCTTAGCAGCTTCATGCGTTTAGCCATCCAGAATTACTCTCTCATTTGCCTATAAATTGAAAAAAAAAAGTGAGAGAAAAGAGCAGAAATAGAAATACTGAAACCTTGCTGAAATTCAAAAGATGAAGACATTGAATGATATTATTGCAAAATTTAAAAATAAGTCACCAGTATGGCTATTTCAGCATTCTAGTTAGCAATACTATTGCAACATTTTGGTTCCTCACATCTTATTCCTGAGAGGACAGAAGTATATTTGAAAAACAATACTAAACAAAACTAGCCATCCAAGACACTGACCTATAATTTTTACAATACACTGAAAGAACTGAGAAGCATTGAACGTAGTGAAAAGTTTATTCAGTCTCATAAAGATTTACTGGATCTGTTATTTGCCATTTTCATACCAGAAATGAGAAGTAATGACAGGAAGAAATAAGATAGATATGTCAATAGAGGAGAATTTTTTTTAAGAACTACAGTGATTCAGCAGGGGAATGAAATATGTGATAGAAAAATCCTGTGTTCAGAGGTGAAATTTTAATCAAATATTCTAGATAACAAACTGTTAACAGAAAACACTATAAATTGGTTCATTTTTAAAATAATTAGTACATACACACACACACACACATATATATAAACAAGATTGAGTAAAATGACAGAAAATAAAATTTTCTCCATCTTCAATGATTCAAAAGCCTTATAAGATCTTTGTTTTGAAAGGATACTTTTTGAAGTATTTTTTTAAAAAAGATTTATATATTTTTACTGAAAAGTCAGATTTACAGAGAGAAGGAGAGACAGAAAGATCTTCCATCTGCTGGTTCACTCCCCAAGTGGCCACAATGGCCAGAGATGAGCTGATTCGAAGCCAGGAGCCAGAAACCAGAAGCCTCTTCAGGGTTGGCCATGCGGGTGCAGGGTCCCAAGGTTTTGGGCTGTCCTCTATTGCCTTCCCAGGCCACAAGCAGGGAGCTGGATGCGAAGTGGAACAGCTGGGACATGAACCTGCATCCATATAGGATTCCAGTGTGTGCAAGGAAAGGACTTTAGCCAGTAGGCTATCGTGCCAGGCCTCCCATAGGATCTTGAAAGACAACACATTCATTATGAAGAAAAAAAAAAATACCCAAACACTATAATAAATATAGAGGATAAAGGAGAGGGCTTGAAGCCTGGGCATAGAATTTGCCATTTTACATAAATTTGACCCAGCTAATTATTTCTCATATTTCTCTTTCTCATAAATCAGGATGCCAAAATTATTGTAAAGAAAGATACTTTAAAAAAAGATATTCAGTTTTGACACTGATTCACAGTCTTAGATCTGTATACTCTTCTGCATTTTGAAAATGCTCTCCCATATTCAATTGTCTTCACCTTGCAAGTCAGAAAACTGAGGCACAGCCAAGTAACTTGCTAAAATTTCGTGGCAGAATACAGAGATAGACCCTAGTTAATACAGTAAGTCTTCTCTACCATATCAATTATCTTAAGTATCTTGCAGGACAGTAGTGTTTTATACATTCATTCCCACTTACAGCCCTTGGCAGTTTAGAAAAGTGTTTTGATTTTATATACATGAAAATAAAATTTGATAATATAAGAGCAATTATTCAAGAAAATTTGCAGCTGTGAATATTTATGTAATTATGTACATGTATTTTAAAAAGTCAAAGACTTTTTTGTGGATGTCTTAATGTACATGGAGATACGATACTTTTGAGAAGTCTGTAGTAGTCATCTGTAACTACTGTTTGTACTCACATATGTATTAATAATACTTTAATCTTTAAAAGTTTATTCATTTAAAAAAAGCCATTATTTGAAATGCAAAAAACATGACCCAGATAGAGCTAGGCGGAGGTCTTCGTCCACTGGCTTCCTCTCCAAATGTTCGCAATAGCTGGGGCTGGACCAGGCTGAAGCCGAGAGGTGGGAACTGGATCTGGATCCACATGGGTGGCAGAGACCCAAGTATTCAGGCCATTCCCTGCTGCCCTCCAAAGGTTTGTATTAGCAGAAAGCTGATACTAGAAACAGCATTCAACCTAGGCAGACACTCCGCTGTGGTATGCAGGCATCCCAAGCAACATCTTTTTTTTTTTTTAATAGTTCTTTTCCCCTAACATGGCGTTGGACAGGACTGGGGCTAAGGGGGTCCTCCGGGAACACAGACTTTCTGCCTGGGCTGGCCACCTTCTGATGGGCTTGCTGAGTTGCAATGAAGCTTTCTAGAGTTGGGGGCAGGAGTGGTGCACAGACCGTAGTGCGTGTGTAGGTGTGCATGTGTGTGTGAGAATCCATCTGCATGCGAGTATGGGTCTGTGTGCACATTGCTTGCTTGTTCGTGCTTCCTGGAGCTTCATACTGGTGTGGAAAAGAACCAGTGGTTGGAGCCAAGCAACATCGTAACCACGGCATCAGACACTGTCCCTTCATTATTTAACACATACTTACTAAGGGAGGTCTACTGGCTTCTCCTGGTGTTTTGCAAAACCATTCAACTTCCAAAGGGGAAAGAAATCTATGTTCTTGTGCTGCACACCGGACATAAACAACTGTAAAATGCAATGTATTTTCTACTAAAAATAAAGGATCTGATCACAGAGTCCTTCACTCACTGAAATCTTTCATAATGAATATAATTTATTAAGATAATGACCCATATGCTTCCTAGTTTCCTTAACATTTCTAGGTACTTGAAAGCATATCCCTTTGCTTTATGATTTTTTTAACTGGTAAAATCATTTGAATGTTGAAAATGAAATTGTTTATTAAGAGTCTTCAGGAAACTTTAGAAAAGAAAGATGGGTAGGCAGCCAGCACTGTGGTACAGTGAGTAAAGCTGCCACCTGTGACACCAGCTACTCCACTTCTGAAGCAGCTCCCTGCTCATGGCCTTGGAAAGTAGTGGAGGATGGCTCAAGTGCCATGTGGAAGGCCAGCAAACTCCTGGCTTTGCACCCAATCGAACCCAAATGGCCCCTATGGCCATTTGGAGAATGAGTAGGTGAACAGAAGATCTGTCTGTCTCTCCCCATCTCTCTGTAACTCTGCCTTTCAATTAAATAGATAAACACTTAAAAAAAAAAAAAGAAAGAAACAAATACAAGCAGAATATTCTCTGGACACATTGAAATCAATAAGGAAGCGCTGATTTCATTCAAAGAAGTAAAATTTTCCTAGCGGGTGATTAGGTGAGATAATAAGTATAAAACCCTAAAATCAGATGCAATCCAAAATAAAAGTGTACCATGAACAAGACTTGATCAGGTACACTTCATAAAATATCTCCTTCTACATGATTTGGAGATGGACAGATACCAAGAGGATATATACAGAGCAAATGGTTCAAGTACTCTAAGTAGGACAAAACAATACAGGAAACAGCATAGCAATAAAAGGATCTTTGGCTATATTTCTACACAAATTGATGTGAAGGAAAAAAAAATCTTCAACTAATTCAAACAACTAAAAATCGGACTGAAATCAACTGGCATATGTCTCTTCCTACCTTATTCCTACTCTTCCCCAGGATCTGTGGTCTGGATAGAAAATGACTATTACCTGAAACTATCTCCTCATTAATAGAAACTGTGATTGCTGTCCATTGTTTTCATCAGATGTTGAAACTGTATTTATTTATGTAAAATGTACTGGGTAATTACCAGATGTGTACATTTATTTACAATCTATATAATTCAGAGGAAGCATTACACATTTTTTAAAAAAGGAAATTCAGTATACACACTTCAAGTCTGAGAATACTGAAAGGCTGAGAACATAGGAAAAGATTAAAGCTTGTACAATTTGAAATCTCTGTGTTAAATTACTTAGGCTTGTTATTCAAAGGAAGGCTATTAACCATTTGGTGAGAACTGAAGTCCAGGGAGAAAGCCATTCTGCTTGCACGCCTGGCGCTCAAGGCTCTCTAGACCAGAAATGAAACACGACGTTACCTTCAAGGATTTTAATAAATCTAAGGAACACTGCTAGCAAAAGAGTTGCTGTCCAAATAGACTGACACACACAGGCCAATGTAGCCCCTAATGACAGAGTAAGATAATGACAGGCCCCACTCCAAATCAGCAGGAAGAGGAAGATCAATCTTGGCAGAGTGAAGGAAAAACACTGGCTTTCCTCGTGTTAGCTCATCTCATACATATCTAGCTTCAGCAGCTGCCCAGGGCTGTGGTGCTCGGCGTTAACTACACAGTGGATCAATAACAATTACACCTTCTCAAAAACATGACACATAGCAGGATTGGGCTGACATTTCACTTAGGCCAACATTGATCTCAGTGCATCTGATTCCAGCCCTAAATTCAAGTCAGGCCTGGGTTTACTTGGAATAAACACAGAGTTAAAGACAAAAAAAAAAGGAAACCAGCTGCTTGCGTCTGGGGCTAGAAGTAAATAGCAGACTATTTTTTATATGATTTACTCACTGTGACATCAATGTTGATAATATCGCCATCCTGAAGAGGTCGACTGAAACAGAAGCAGGAAAAATGAGGGTGATGTGCAGATCTCAATAAGAAGCAATAGGAAACACCTCATCACCAGAATTACAACTCCAATGAGTTGCAACGATAATTTAGAGTGAGAGAGGAAGAAATGAGTAACTAATCTTTAACTGACATCAGTCTCATCAAATTATGTAAGAAATAAAAAATATGAATCCATTGCCATTGTGGGGCATTCTTTAAAAGGATGTGTTTGTTAGTCACCTAAATTTTACTAAGAGCCACAACTCTATAGCTGGTACCCCAAAAAGGTACCTACATTTAAATTCTTTTTTCTTTTTTTACTTTACCATTTTTATCACTACCATCTAAGAAGGTAAAAGAAATTTTACTGAAATTCATATTTTGCTTGCTGTAAAACCAATCTTAAGGTTAGACATAGCTTTAATAGACATTGACTTGGTGACAATATGTCTACTTCTAAGCAAAACACTTCTAAATTTGTTCTCCCTGTAACTAGCTTCTGAAATCTGCAGGTGGATTCCAACTGGATATAGTGTGTTTCAATATACACCATATCCTAGTTTCCCATTTTAGTTTCCACAGGCACAGTATGTTATTAAAAAATGAATACCTGTCGGGAATACCATGGCAGAGCACGTTGTTGACAGAGGTACACACAGATTTTGGAAAACCTCTGTAGCCTAGAGGTGAGGGGTAGGCATTATGACTGATGATTTCCTGGTGGACAAGGGCATCTATCTCTTCAGTTGTCATGTCAACCTAAAACATGAAAGAAAGAAATTGTGCAGTGACAGTCCAAGACATTCCCAGTATTTATCGACTAGGCCTACATTAACAGCGCTTCTCCATGAGACTGCATGAATTTACCAGGGTAAATTTATGGTCTAATATCCTAATTAATTATGACTAATGTTAAAAATCTTCAACTGAGCCTTTTTGTCAATCATTTGTGAGCACAGTGGAGTTATGGATTATTAGGAAATAGAAACTGTGGGATCCTCTAAATCATTTGTCAGTCACTGAATGAACTGATTCCCTTTTAGCCTGGAGATTTAGAAACTGCATTCTTTGGAAATGCCTTCCTCTTTTGTAGTGGTTAATGCTCTAAGCTGACCAAAGCCTATACATTAATGCTCAAAAAAACTCCAGTTTAGATGACACAGCTTGAACACTGGCCCAGCCTACACCTTCTCAGCCCAGTGAGACGTTCTGTAGGGATTGCAGCAATGGCTGGGAGATTATGGGTCATGATTAAAAAAAAAAAGAAGAAGAAGAAGGTCACACATTTTGTAGACAAGTGTGTTTTACTAACCCTGATTTTTTAAAAAAACTTTTTCTAAAAAGATCCCCCTGACATTCACTCTTCAACTAACAGCAAACTGAAATTGAGTTTATTAGCAACATGAAGACTATTTCCACAAACTGGTAAGTCATAAAATTGTAAAACAACAACAAAATCTTTACAAAAAATGAACTATTTCTTTAAGCATTTTCTTCATGTTATCTTACCTCCACAGACTAATTATATGGCTGAAAGTTTATGACACAGAACCATTTACACGCTTCTATCTTTGGGTCTCACTTCTGAAGTTCTCCTACCTCTTGGAAACTAGAAGTCCATATTTTCTTTTACAATCCTCCTATGGCAGGATATTGAAAGTCATATGGTAGGATACATAAGTAAGGCAAATGGTAGGACAGTTGTATATAGTTACATCGCTATATCATCGTTAGCTTTGTATATCTGGCTTAATCTTTCTTTGCAGAGCAAGAGAACAGGAGACAAAATGCATGGTAGAGCAACTCTTCAGACACAGAAATAACCTGGGGGACTAAAGGAAGAAGTAGGGCAGCCAAAGTCCAAAGTGACTGCTGTGGATCAACTTGGATATCCTGATTGGGCCCAAAGAATTTCTAGAATTTTGCTAGTTAAAGTTGAACTTGGGTTGAAAGCTATAATACCCGTGCCTCCCATCCTGAGTCTTTACTTAATTCTGTCTAAACAAATGAGATATGTACAAAGGAAGAGTTAGAGGGGGAAGACAAGGAGCGCTTGCAGCCCTGGGAGGAAGTCACCCTGAGGCTTGGGAAGGCGTCACCTTTAAACTCTTCCCCGCCAGGAGGAGGACATGGCGGGCCAGCTGACAGGCCTGATGCAGCCCTTGGATCTGATCTTCATTCTTCACTTCGATGCTGTCTCCCCAGTCGGGTACAATGCCTGTCGTCACATAGTCTGGCTTCTTTATGTGCTTGGGGAAAAAAGGATTGAAAAACGAACATCAGAACCCAACCCTCGACAATGGGATCATTTTTTCGGACACAGCCTCCTGCTTCATGGAGCTCTGCCCTTCCTGCCGGAGCTCCGACCTCCAAAGCCAGCACAACAGACCCTCCAGGCTGCCCCGGGTTCCTTCCCCTGCCCTTTTGAACTTCACATTGCCTGTTAGTGCTGCCTCTGGATGGTCTGCTAACCTTAATAATCTTTCAGTCCAGTTGTACTGAAGTAGGCTGCTGGTCAAAACACATAGTGGTTTCTTTTCTTCTTCCACCTAGCCCCACCAGAAGCAACCCAGTATTGATTTAAAAAAACAAAAACAAAAATGCACCAAGTTTGGCTCAGCATGATAGCATAGCGGGGCAAAAAGTCCTCGCCCTGAGTGTGCCAGGATCCCATATGGGTGCTGGTTCTGATCTCAGCTGCCCCACTTCCCATCCAGCTCCCTGCTTGTGGCCTGGGAAAACAGTTGAGGACAGCCCAAAATCTTAGGTTCCTTCACCTACGTGGGAGACCCCGAAGAAGCTCCTGGCTCCTGGCTTTGGTTTGGCTCAGTTCCAGCCACTGCGGTCACATGGGGAGTGAACCGTTGGACAGAAGATTTTCCTCTCTGTATATCTGACTTTGCAATAAAAATAAATAAATCTTTTTTAAAAATGCACCAAGCTTCCAGTTTGCTAAATGAGTCATTAAACCCTGTCATCTTGGCATAATAACAAAATGTAGGCAAAGGACAGCTTCCCACTGTCTGGATGAAGGTATGTAAGATGGACTGCTGGCTAAGTCCCTTGAGGCCTCATGCATGCATCTCTTCTACTTTGCAATCATACTCACACTGGAAGATTGGAGAATAAAACAAAATGGTTTTCTTTTCTTTTCTAGATACATATGCATTACCTAGAACCACCCAGACCAAACCAAGGCCTCCCCACCTCCCAGCACACACACACTTGCCCAACTCAAAACATTCAGTTCTGATGGTTGCTATAGAAGTCTCTCCTGCACTTAGAGCCAATGGCAATATTCAGAAAACAAACACTTCCTGACACACAGAGGGCCTTTCAGTCCCCAAGGCTTTGCATGGCGGCAGCACTTCACAAGCTATATATAGCAACTGCTACTTGAGCGTCTGGGAACAGTACACAGGAAGGCTACAGAGCAGTTTGTAGCAGTTTGGGACAGGAAGCTGAGCCAGATAACTCCTTAGCAGAAACATCACAGCAACCAGGAGCAGGGCCTCATGCCTGGTGAGGGGCATCAGACAGCATTCCCTGTTCTGTTGAGCTCCTCTTAGGACGTCACCACTAGGGGCGATGGATCCTCTTCAGGTCTCCCGCAGAGGGCCCGGGCTGTCTCCACTCTGTGATGGGACCAGGTGACAGCTCCAGGCAGAAGAGCAGGTGTACAGCCACTACAATGGACTGTGACTGCTGAAACAACATACTGACCTGCCTGGAGATTTGCTTCTCTGTTCTACCAACGTCAAATAATGTCAGTTTTGTGTGGATAATAATAAATGCTGGTTCTTACTGTGATGTCCAGGCCTCAGTCAAACCAGTAATGAATTCTGGGGTGGGGTGAGCAAGTTCTTCAGCCTCATTTGCCCTTGCCACAAAGTAGAGCCACTCACCATGAAGAGATTCAACACACTTAATGCTACTGTAAGCTCACGGGGGGGGGGGGGTGATGGATGCAAATAAGCAAGAAAGCATGTGCTTCCTTTGTGACAAATCTGTGTCTCTTTGAGCTGTTTTTCCTCCATAACTCACACACTTCCTTTACACCTTATCTTGAAAAATGGGTAGACCCTCTATCCATAGAATTGTAATTTCTGGGAAAAAAAAAACAAGAGTACTTCAAGACAAGATGTCTCAAGTTAACTTACTCTGAAGGATGATTCAGAGACACCCACAGCATTAATAACGTGGAAAGCATTAAGAGCATGCTTTGAAACAGCCATCGAGTGTATTAGTTTCAAGTAATCTCCTGACAAGCATCTCAACTGAAAACTTAAGAGCTTTTTTCCTTCCTTCTAAAAAAGTTGGGAAACTGAGTGTGTGTGTCTGTGCATAGTTTTACCTTCATGTTAAAAATTCAACATAAAAAATTCCATGAGCAAAATTTTAACCCCAGATCAGTTAAGTAACTCTAAGTTCAGAGCTTAACTTTTACAAATTAATGTGATTAAAACTGAAGGATGTTAAAACTTCTCACATCACAATTCAAAAATCACAAATCAAGATTTTAAATTATGACTGAGTGGTCTGGAAATCAGAGGTGTTAAGACATTGGATGGCTTTGGCAGTCAATCTCTGTCTTGGCCGGAAAAGGCAGCAGATAATAGGCAGAAGAAGGTACCTCGGGGACTGGATGAGCTGAAGAAACCATGGCCGGGGAAACGATACTGTGGGAGATGTTCCTTTGTTTTCGGAAAATGAAATGTCTTCTTTGTTGCTTTCTTGACTGCTTATATAAGTAGATAGGACTGAGTGCTGAAGACAAAATTCTTTGACAACCTACGAGCAAACACAGGCATCCTTTAAGTTAAAAACAACATAAGCTCTGCACTTTAGGATATGTGGTGTTGTCTATTCACTCATGATTCTAATCCTTTGTTGACTCAGAAAGGAAAAGATTCAAATAGATAAGAAAGCAGCAGCGCTCTGAGTTCTGGTACAAGTGCAGCATATTCATTAGCTAATACTATGTTTACATGAATGCTTCACAATGGAGAACTCTAATCTAATGGGAAACAAACATATAGAAACAATTGCTGCTCACCCGATCTATAAAAAGAACAATTTCTGCTCTAGTACTTTCTGCGGCCATGTCCAGGATGACCCCGGATTCACGGCACTATCTTGATGGTTTTACACTCTTTCAATCTGTTTCTCTTTCAAGAATCATGAACAAACGGCCAGCTGCACCTTGTACCCTCTGCAGGATTACGGCTCTGTGTTAAGTTCATGTGCAGCGAGGCATTATGCCGAAATGCACTGTGATCAGAGCTCCAGCCAGATAAAGACCAAACAGCAAAAGTGTAGGTATGATCCTGAGAGAAAATCAACACAGGGTCTTAAGTCCCCACCACAGGTATTTAAAGGCATCTATCTACATTTGCAATACATCTCCCCTTTGTAATTCACCTCCCAGGACTTGATCTTGTAGCTAACAGGCAGGGACGGATGTCGGGGATGTCCAGCCCAGCCAGGGTCACTGTGGGTCTTTTGGGGGCAGTGGTCCAATAGATGGAATTATGGAAACTCTCTGTGTTTCTCTGCCTCTGTCTCCCAAAGGAAAATAATAATAATAATAATAAGCTAACTATGTCTATATTAACACAGAAAGAGCTCAGTACATTGCTAAGAAAAAAGGCAAATGCCAAACAATACATATAAAAACCCCACTAAAGAGTTTATATACTTATTTTATTAAAAATACGTTTAAAAGATTTGTTTCTTTTATTGGAAAGATTTATAGAGAGAAGGAGAAACAGAAAGGTCTTCTGTTCACTAGTTCACTCCCCCAAGTGGCTGCAACAGCTCAGCTAAGCCAATCCAAAGCCAGGAGCCAGGAGCTTTTTCCAGGTCTCCCACGCGGGTGCAGGGTCCTAAGGCTTTGGGGCCGTCCTTGACTGCTTTCCCAGGCCACAAGCAGGGAGCTGGATGGGAAGTGGAGCAGCTGGGATACAAACTGATGCCCATATGGAATCCCAGTGCATACAAGTGAGGACTTTAGCACTAGGTTATAGTTATCGTGCTGGGCCCTAAATAAGGTTTTGTTTTGTTTTGTTTTAATAAATAACCTTTTTTTTAAAAAAATTATTACAAGTCACAACTACATAACAGGATTAACTAACTACAGCCCCAGGAGCAAATGTGGCCTGATCCTATTTGTTTTTGTTTAAAGATTATTTAATTATTAGAGAGAAAACATTCTGATATGCTGATTCAGTCTCCCAAACGGCAGCAACAGCTAGAACTGGGGCAAGGAGAAGTCAAGAGCCTAGGACTCCACCCAGATCTCTCAAGTGGCTAGAGGTGGACCATGTTCTATGACCTTCCCAGGCATACTGGCCAGGAGCTGGATTGGAAGCAAAGCAGTTGCTATTCAAATCGGTGCTCATAAGGGAATACTAGCACTGCAAGTAGTGGCTTAACCCACCGCGACACAGCACTAACCCTGCTACTTGTTTTTATATAGCTAAGACCTAAAAAGTTTTCATATTTATAAATGGTTCTTATATTTCTTATGAAATCTTAAGAAACTTAAGAAATTTCAGAGCCCAAAAAGTAAAGTTTCATTGGACTATAGCTACCTGATTTGTTTACAATTGTCTAGGGCTGATTTTGAGCTACAACAGGTAGAGTTTAATGGTTGTAACAGAGACCATATGGCCCACAAAGAACAAAATTTTTACTATTTGACCCTTAACGGCAGTAGTTTGTGCTTTCCTGGTTCAGAGCACTGATTCTCAAAAAGCAGCTTCCAGACCAGCAATATCAGCACCCGTAGGGAACAGACACAACTTCTTGGGTCCCCTCTTGGATCTACTGCCTCAGAACCCTCAGGGGAGGCCGGGGTCATGTGCTCTCACAAACCCTGGGGTGGCCCTGACACACACAGTGCTGGACAGCTGGTGCCAGAGCAATGGAAACAGGCTGCAGCCGAGTCCAGGTCCCCCAAAACTCAAGATCTCTAATGAAGCTGGGAGAAAGTCACTGATGCAAACCCCGATGGTCGGTGACTCAGCGTCACAAATTTCATTTCACTAATATCGTGTTTGTCTTGTTTTAAACATTGATTTATTTATTTGAAAGAGTTACACGGGGGGGGGGGTGCGGTGAAAAGGGGTAAGGAGGGAGGGGGGAGATAAAGAGGGAGACAGAGAGAGAGAGAGAGACTTTGTATCTGCCTAGATGGCTGCAGTGGTCAGAGCTGGGCCAGGTTGCGGTCAGGAGCCAGGAACTTCACATGGGTGTATGGGCACAAAAACTTGGGCCATCCTGGAGCAGGCAGGACCAGACCTAAACTGAGGGATGTTGGCCTTACGGGTGGCAGCTTTACCAACTATACCAAAATACCAGCCTCTAACTTAAAAAAAATTTTTTTCTTTTATTTGAAAAGCAGAGAAACAGTTCTTACAATCTACTGTCTCACTCTCACATGCCTGCAATAGCTGGGAACTCCATCCAGGCCTTCTACTCCACCTGAGAACCCAACCACCTGAGCCATCACCGGCTGCTTCTTGGGTACATGCTATTAAGAAGCTGACACTGGAGGCAGAGCTGGGTCTCAATATGGGATGTAGACATCCTAACTCCCTTACCAGGCACTCATAATTACATCATATTCTTGAGCCAAGCTAACAAAGGTGCTTGGGTACTATGAGAATATTTCAAACAGTTTATGTAAAGTGAAATTTAAAAATTAATTGATTTCAGGTGGGTTTTTTTTGCAAGAAAATAAAACTAACTTTTTGATGTTTTTCCATGAACATTTTGAAGCACCTTTGTATTTCAAACAATTCCAAACAAACCTCACAAAAGGTCTGTTTTAAACCATTTGCTTTTAAAACATAGTTGCTTGACAGATAGAGCCAGTTACTTATTCTATAGTTTGTGAAACACGGCATTTCCCTGATGACATCACCTCACCTCAGATGACCCACGGACAGATAGAGGCAGGCAGGTGTCACAGGCAAAGCACATGGTTGGCAGGTACAAGCCTGCACTGGAGTGGGTTTAGCTCTGGCACTTGTTAGCGCGCGGCCCCAAACAAGTTTCCTCTTTTCAGTCTCAGTTGAGAATTAACTGTAACAGGGGATGCGGCAATGTCTTGCATTAAGCTACTACCTCTTCTAGGATACTACAAAAGTTAGGGGACAAAAAAATGGGAGACATCCCAGAGACATGTAGAATGAAAAGGGATAGCTTCATTGGAACACACTTCGGTAGCGAAAACATCAGGAACCTTGATGTCTGAAATTAATCCAAGTTCTTACTTTCCTCATTGGAGAACATGAATAGTCTATGTAGGGGCTGATGGTGCATTAGCTGGAATTACACGTACGAGGGGGCTTCAAAACGTTTGAAGAAAACAAACTAAGGGCAGTCAGCTGGCACAGTGACTAAGTCACTTCTTGGGACACTCGCATTCCATACCAGAATGCCTGACCTCAAGCCCCAGCTCCACTTCTGATGCCAGATTCCTAATGCAAACTCAGGAGGCAACAATTTATAGCTCAAGAACCTAGGTCCCTGTCCCTCACGTGGAGATTCATACTGAGTTCTAGGTTTCTGGCTTAGCCTGGCTCAGCCCTGTCTGTTATGGGCAGTTAAAGAATGATCCAGTGAATGGAAGATCTTTCTCTCTCAGTCTTTCTTTCTCTCTCTTTCAAATAAAAACTCTTAAAAAATTGAAGTAGCTAATAAAATGAATGAAAGGATAAGTTTATTTCAGTGTAAACACTTTTGGGATACACACATCTCATCTCAGACTGCCTGGGCTCAAGTCCTCGCTCTACATTTGACTCTAGCTTCCTGCTGATGTGCACCCTGGGAGTAGCAGGTGATGGCACTGTCACCCACGTGGCCTACAGCACTAGGCTCCTGACGTCGGTCCTACCCAGCTCTTGCTATTGCTGCACGGCTGGGGAGCGAACCTGCATACAGGAAGGCTTATGTCCACCTGACTCTCTTTGTGTGTCTCTGCTTTTCAAAAAGAAAAAAAGTTCTTGGAAAATGTGCATTATGAAAAAAAGGATGAGGCAGATTAGGCATAAATTCAAAAAATTGTTTCTGTTCTTAAGCCTTTGATTACATTTGGTATAAACATTGTGAAGTTCTCATACATGTAAATTATCATCAAAAACAAAATGTGGGGCCCAGCACAGTGGCCTAGCGTCTGAAGTTCTTGCCTTGAATGCACCGGGGTCCCATATGGTCGCCAGTTCTAATCCGGGTGGCCCCGCTTCCAACTCCCTGCTTGTGACCCGGGAAAGCAGTAGAGGATGGCCCAAAGCCTTGGGACCCTGTACCCGCCTGGGAGACCCAGAAGAGCTCCTGGCTCCTGGCTTTGGATCAGCACAGCACTGGCCTTTGTGGTCACTTGGGAAGTGAATCATTGGATGGAAGATCTTTCTCTCTGTCTCTCCTTCTCTCTGTATATCTGACTTTGCAATAAAAATAAGTAAATCTTAAAAAAAATTATGTCCCTTGGGGCTGGCACAATGGCTCAATAGGCTAATCCTCTACCTATAAAAATCAGCATCCTATATGAGTAACCATTCTTGTTTTGGCTTCTCCACTTCTGATCCAGTTAACCACTAACAGACTGGGAAAACAACAGAAGATGGCTCAAGTCCTTGGACGGTTGCATCCACATGGAGACGTGAAAGACGTTCCTGGCTTCAGCCTTGCCCAGTCCCAGCCCTTGCAGCCATTTGGGGAGTGGACAATGGATGGAAGCACTCTTTCTTTCTCTCTCCCCGCCTCTCTGTCTCCCCCCGCCCGCC